AAAAAAAAAAAAAAGCGATATAACAGTGATTATTTGATACAAAACGGATATTTGAATAAATCCATCACCTTATATGAGGAAATCACCAACACACACACACACACACAGACACACTCAGACACACTCAGACACTCAGCAACAAATTCACACAGACACAGACATACAAAAAAACATCAGCAAATAAGGTGAAAAAATTTTACAAACAGTATAATGGATGTTTTACAAATTTGGATACAATTGAAAAAAAAAAAAACACATACATATTTGGCCCCATCAAATTGCTTTTCTTTTTTTTTTTTTGCCTTTTCAATCAGCTTTACTGTTTATTTGTTTGCTTCTATATAGTTCAATACTAATCTTCTAAGGTTAGCTGACCACTGTTCAAAAAAAAAAAAAAAAAATGTTCACAAAATTTTTGCCTCCAATTAACAATATGTATCTGTTACCAATAAAAAAAGTAGAAAAAAAAAAAAAAAAAGAAGGGTGATAAAAAAAAAACAAGCACAAAAAATTAATTTTTCACAAAATTATACACATCTCATATGCTGTTTTTTTTAATCCATTTTACAACACTTATTTTACTAAAGCTTTGCTTCCTTTTCTTTTTTTTTTTTTCACACTTTGTTGTTTTTGTTTTCTTCCATCGTCATCCTTGGTTTTTTTTTTTTTTTTTTTCAATTTTTATTAAACTGCAGTTGAATGCGGATTCCAATTTTCCCTATCCACGTCCCTACAAAAAAAAAAAAATGGATAATAATAAATACAATTTGGTTGACGGCACGTGACTGACTGATATGATGACATTTGTTTTTGTGCCCAAAAAATTTTCCGAATCAATTTATATAATGCAAACGAAAAAAAAAAAAAAAAACAAAAACAAAAAACAGAAAGGAAAAAAAAATGAAACAAAAACATATGCTTTTTTCTCAGTCCTTCTTCTCCAGTTTATTTTGTTTTCAATGTTTGCAAGCAAAAAAAAACAACAACAATCTCAAACTTTTATTGCATTTTGAATGTTTTGCATTAAAAAAAAAAAAAAAAGCTAGAATTTATTTCTTTGCTTAAGCAATTAATTAATAAGAATAAGCCAAAAAATGAAGTTAACATAGATTTTTTGAATGTTTAATATTTAAGCCACTAGGCTAAGCTAAATTTTTCTAATCAAAAACTATAAGGCATTTCCTGTGTACCCACTCAT